TACAGGAAGAAAGCAGAGTTCGTTGGGAAAGGAACTTATTTTCAGTGCAAGGAAGCAAAGCAAAGCCAAAAAGGCTGCCTTTCCTCTTTAATTGAATGGCCTCTCACCATAAGGAAAAAGAACCCACAGGAAGAAAGCAGAGTTCATTGGGAAAGGAACTTATTTTCAGTGCAAGGAAGCAAAACAAAGCCAGAAAGGCTGCCTTTCCTCTTTAATTGAATGGCCTCTCACTATAAGGAAAAAAGAACCCACAGGAAGAAAGCAGAGTTCATTGGGAAAAGAACTTATTTTCAGTGCAAGGAAACAAAACAAAGCCAAAAAGGCTGCCCTTCCTCTTTAATTGAATGGCCTCTCACTATAAGGAGAGGGAAGCCACAGGAAGAGAGCAGAGTTCGTTGGGAAAGGAACTTATTTTCAGTGCAAGGAAGCGAAGCAAAGCCAAAAAGGCCTCCTTTCCCCTTTAAATGAATGCCCTCTCGCCATTAGGAAAGCAACAGGAAGAAAGCAAAGTTTGTTGAGAAAGGAACTTATTTGATGTTTGGGGATCATCACAACTGGCGGAACTGTATTAAGGGGTTGCGGCATTAGGAAGGGTGAGAAACACTGATTTAGGCTATAGCTAATTTGACACCAAATCTGCTATGTCTACCAAAATTGCATGGCTACAAACTGGCACGCATGTAGCCAAGGAGCATCAGGCTACCGTCGAGATGGCAAAGGTTATGAATGAAGAAGTACATCCAAGTGAAGCAAAGGTGCAGCAGTTTGCTTTGCCCTGAACCTACTGGGAAGGGTAGAATCTATCTGCTCCTCTCTTCTCCTTTCCCACCTGCTAAGTTAATTGAGTCCAAACTACTTTTCCCTTTTGACTTCAATTTGTAGCATTTGGAGTGAGGAGGAAAGGGGGAAGAAGTGAGAGAAATCGGGACATTTCAAAAGCAGCTGGGAAAGTGATGAGCAGCGGTTTGATCGGGACAATCGGTACATCCAGATTGCAGAATGAATGCAGTTTGAGCCAACGTTAATGTTATTAAATTGGTAGTTTATTGAGGCGTCAGAACTCTTGGGCAGAGAAGACTACAGGGCTCGTAAAGCTACAACTCCCATGTCTCCAGAGCAATGAGCAAGGGCAGTTTAAGTCGTGCCCAAACGAAATTATATTTTAATCTGGAAGAGAGATAAGAAGCAGAGCCAAAGGAAAGAGGGAAGAGACCGAGATATGGCAAAACACACCGGTCAGGGCACGGTGACCATTGTTCCTTTCGGAGCACAGGTCTGCTGCCTTAATGGGTTTACTCTCTCCGTCTGACATGAGGCCCGCCCAAGAGGCAGGAGGACATGTCCACTACAGATCCGTGGATGTGCCAACGATGGATGCCAAGCGATGCATTAATGAGGATGCCCAGCTGTCAGTCATTAGCGCCTGTGCCAATCGGTGAGTGGGCAGAGAACGGTCTGGCATAGGCGCCATCTGCCCTGGCCATTCTGCCTAAGCATCCCAGAATCCACACTGGGGCCCAAGGGTCGTTGACTCTGATTAGCGGAAAGATAACAGACATTAGGGCAGCCGATAAAGCAGAAGAGGGTCCATCTTGCGCAGAGGCTCGCCCCTCTCAGGTGCTCAAAGGCTGTGCCAGCGCATGGGCGGAAATGGAGAACGGTTCACACATTTTGGCTCCCCTTGGGCAATTAGGTTCCATGGCAAACAAAGGCACAACTGGTTCTGAGACAGTTGATGGGCAAGAACAGCTCTTCCCGTTAACAGGTGACACTTCAATAATAATAATAATAATAATAATCATCATCATCATCATCATATCTATATAAATAAAAATGTAATGTCCGTTTGTGGGATTAACATAACTAAAAAAACACTGGATGAATTGACACCAAATTTGGACACAAGACACCTCTCAGGCCAACGAGTGACCATCACTCATAAAAACATTGGAAAACACAGCAGAAGAGACTTAAAAAGCCAAAAAATAAAAGAAAATGCATTACAATGCATGCGCAAAACCGCATATATACACAAACACACATAAAATATATACACAAATATACACATACTCATATATGTACACACAAAACACATATACACAGACTGGGCCACAGCAATGCATGGCAGGGGACGGCTAGAAATACTAATAATTCTTCAGACTGATACAGTTTTGGAGCACAATATTCCTGACCTCATGATTGTGTTAAAAAACAATGTATGGTTCGTTGATGTCACAATCCCAGGTGGCAGAAGGATTGAAGAGAAACAACTGGAAAAGCTGACACAATATGTGGAAGTAAAAATCGAACTGCAAAGACTCTGGCACAAGCCAGTCAAGGTGGTCCCAGTGGTGATCGGCACACTGGGTGCAGTGCCTAAAGACCTTGGCCTGCACTTAAACACAATGGGTGCTGACAAGATTACCATCTGCCAGCTGCAAAAGGCCACCTTACTGGGATCTGCACACATTATTCACACAGTCCTAGAAACTTGGGAAGTGTCCGACTTGTGATCCAATACAACGGCCAGCAGAGTGATGTTGTTTGCTGTGGACTCATCTTGTTGTGTTTCTAATAATAATAATAATAATAACAACAACAACAACAACAACAACAATAATGAAGAAGAAGCAGCTGTACCCGGCATGTGTTGCTGTGGCCAACTTTCCCTCCCTCCTTCTCTCCATTCTTTCTCTCCTTCCTTCCCTTTTATTCTTTCCTTCTCTCCTTCCTTCTCTTCCTCTTCCCTTCCTTCCCCCCTTTTCTTTCCCTCCCTCTTTCTCTCCTTCTTTATTTCTCTTCCTTCCCTCTTATTCTTTCCTTCTTCCTTCCTTCTCTTCCTCTTCCCTTCTTTCCCTCCCTCTTTCCTTCTTTCTTTCTCTTCCTCCCCTTTTATTCTTTCCTTCTCTCCTTCCTTCTCTTCCTCTTCCCTTCCTCTCCCCTTTTCTTTCCCTTCCTCTTTCTCCCCCTTCTTCCTTCTCTATCTATTCTTGGACTACAACTCCCAGCAGTCCTCCTGATCAATCTACCTACCTACCTATCTCTATCTACTCTATCTGCCTGGAGGATTGCTGGAAGCTGCAGTCCAGGAATGGGAAATTGGAAATATGCAGGAATGGGATGCTCTCAAAGAAATCCAAGGAGAAGAAAGCTTGTATCTTGGAAGCAGTGCATTTGGATCATCCTCCTCTCCTAAAGGGCCTGATCTAGGGGATGCTGGGAGCTGGAGTCTGGAAGAGAGTGTGGATGTGCTATTGTGTGTTTTGTTTGCCTGAGGAGTCTTTTTGCATATGCGCTGTAGCACCTTTTTGCTTTTGGGTTTTATGCCTCTTCTGCTGTGTTTTTCAGTGTTTTTATGAGTGACGGTCACTTGTTGGCCTGAGAGGTGCTTTGTGTCCAAATTTGGTGTCAATTCGTCTAGTGGTTTTTGAATTATGTTAATCCCACAAACTAACATTACATTTTTATTTATATAGATGATGATGATGATGATGATTATTATTATTATTATTAAGGATTTAAAGATCGAACTGCACAAGCCAGTCAAATTGCTCCCAGTGGTGATCGGCACACTGGGTGCAGTGCCTCAAGACCTTGGCCTGCACTTAAAAACAATCAGTGCTGACAAAATTACCACCTGTTAGCTGCAAAAGGCCACCCTACTCGACTCTGCATGCATCATTCACCAACACATCACATAATCCTAGACACTTGGGAAGTGTCTGACGTGTGATACAATACAACAGCCAGCACAGTGGCACAGCGATCTTGTTTGCTGTGTACTACACTTGTTGTGTATCAAACAATAATAATAATAATAATAATAATAATAATAATAATAATAATAATAATGCAAACAGCAAACAAGATCACTGTGCCATTGTGCTGGCTGTTGTATTGTTGTATAATAATAATAATAATAATAATAATAATAATCATCATCATCATCTTGTCTGCTGTGGACTCATTTAGTTGTGTTTAAAATAATAATAATAATAATAATATATTATTATTATTACTATTATTATTATTGACACAAAAGCACAGTATGTCACAGCAAACGAGATCTATTTGCTGGATTATTATTATTATTATTATTATTATTATTATTATTATTATTGGAAACAGAACAAGATGAGTCCACAGCAGACCAGATGATGATGATGATGATGATGACGATGATGATGATGATTATTATTATGAGCTGAAGACCCGACGTTGTCCGTAGACGCCTCTAAGGTGATGTGGCCGGCAAGATTGCATGGAGCGCCGTTACCTTCCCGCCAAGGCAGTACCTATTGATCTACTCACATTTGCATGTAAGTAGGAGAAAGATGAGAGAATTTTGTGGGAGAAGAATGAAGTGGCAGACTATGAAGCCACAACATTTTCTATCTTCTACAACAATACTCTCTTCTTAGTTTTGGTCATTGTTGCTTCCTTCTTTATACTGAAGAATTTCAACCTTTCCATCAGTGCTTCATCTGGATTGATTGCGTTGCTGTCAACAGGCTCTAAGTAAATTGAATTGTTTGGGAGGATGGGTCCTGCCCAATTGCACACAGGTGTAAGAAGGGGGGTATTGCCTTTTTTATACTTTGAAACCATGATCTACTCACATTTGCATGTTTTCGGACTGCTAGGTTGGCATAAGCTGGGGATAACGGTGGGAGCTCGCCCTGCTCCCCAGATTTGCACCACCAACCTTGTGGTCAGCAAGTTCAGCAGCTCAGTAGCTTAACCCACTGCGCCACTGGAGGCTCCGGTGCTTTCATGCTACAGAATTATAATATTATGATTGCATCTTAGTTGCGGTCATTGCCTCCTATGAGAATCTGGGATTTGCAGTTTAGGAAGGAGGATAGCACTTGGAAGTTCCAACCAGAAGCTGCAAATCTGCGACTGGAGGCAACGGTGCTCACTGAAAGTGGAATGATGGTGTTACATTTATGGTGTAATGTCGTTTTTGGGACTGAGACAAAAAAAAAGGCAATACTCACTTTCACCGGTCATGACGCCTTGGGTATATCGCTTTGGTAACATCCCGGTGTAGCCATAGAAGCTGGATTGCTGCACTTCAAAGGGGAGGACAGAGATGACAAAAGAAGTGGGGGAAGCCTGTTATTACGCCACGACTGGGGAAAAAACACACTCAATTCCTTGTAACAACACAAGAATTATTCCCAAATTCCTTTCCAACCGGTACAGAATAGATTGGCAAGGGAATTTGGATTGAAAACAAAACGAACTCCTTCGACACATGAGACAGAATTAAATTGTGGGTTTTGCTACTAGACAGTGGAGTGACGACCACAGCCTTTGTTGTTGTTCATTCGTTCAGTCGTTTCCGACTCTTCGTGACTTCAAGGACCAGTCCACATCACAGATCACTGTCGGTCGTCACCACCCCCAGCTCCTTCAAGAAGGTCCTGCACCAGGAAAGGTCAATTGATAGATCAAGGCCACCCGAAGAAGGAGAATTGAGCCCACTTTCCATTTGTACTTAGGTCCAACCTCATGACTTACCGCTCAAGCAGGGAGCTTTGAGATGGTAGAACAGAAGCTCTCCGAAGCTCTAGGTGCTCTTACTGCCTATTACAGGGAAAACCAGCTGATCCCTAATCCATCTGAAACACAGACATGTGCCTTTCACCTTAAGAACAGACAAGCATCCCGAGCTCTGAGGATTATTACCTGGGAAAGAATCCCACTGGAGCATTGCAGCGCAGCCACATACCTGGGAGTCACTCTGGACCATGCTCTGACCTACAAGAAGCACTGCCTGAACATCACAAAAAGTGGGTGCTAGAAACAATATCATACGAAAGCTGACTGGCACAACCTGGGAATCACAACCAGACATAGTGAAGACATCTGCCCTTGCGCTATGCTACTCTGCTGCTGAGTATGCATGCCCAGTGTGGAACACATCTCACCACACTAAAACAGTAGATGTGGCTCTTAATGAGACATGTCGCATTATCACGGGGTGTCTGCACCCTACACCACTGGAGAAATTACACTGCTTAGCCGGTATTGCACCACCTGACATCCGGAAGTAGCAGCCAATAGTGAAAGGACCAAGGCAGAGACATCTCCAGCTCATCCCTGTTTGGGTATCAGCCAGCACGTCAACTACTTAAATCAAGAAATAGATTCCTAAGATCTACAGAGACACTTGCTGGAACACCCCAGCAAGCGAGAGTCCAAAAGTGGCAGGCTCAAACCCAGAACCTCAATCAATGGCTGACACCAAATGAGAGACACACAGAAAACTGGGCGACTTGGAAGGCACTGAACAGACTGTGCTCTGGCACCACGAGATGCAGAGCTAACCTCAAGAAATGGGGCCACAAAGTGGAATCCACGACATGCGAGTGTGGAGAAGAGCAAACCACTGACCACCTGCTGCAATGCAACCTGAGCCCTGCCACATGCACAATGGAGGACCTTCTTGCGGCAACACCAGAGGCACTCCAAGTGGCCAGATACTGGTCAAAGGACATCTAATCAACTACCAAGCTTGCGAACTTTGTGTTTTTTAAATTCCAAGAGAGTTAGCTCAAAAGTAACATTTCTGAGATGAGGGTTCCAATCCCAGCCAAGAACGCCCATGGGGAGCCCATCCATTCCCATGCCTACCTGTGCAACCAAAGGCCACCACACCCACCGCGATGAGGTTGACGGCGTAGGCATGCCGCTGGGAGAAAAGCTCCAGCCAGACGTCACAGATGCTAACAAAGAGAAGCGGACCAAGAGCAAACAGGTACCCTGCAAGAACAAGAAGGACATGGAAAATACATCATTTCTGAAACAGTAGTCTTTTTTTTTGGCACACAAGTCGTGATTTAAAAAACAGTACATGTCGAAGGTGGGATAGGTGTGTGATGTATAGTTTTCTCCCAAAATACACTAGTGTCACACACCAGGGCTGGGAAGGCACCTCTGAACCAATCTCACACTCCAGAGTTCAGTATAAGCAAAGCGGTTTATTGAAGAATAAAAAGGATAAAAAATGATCAAAAGTAGTATAGGATGTTGTCAAAGGCTTTCATGGCCAGAATCACTGGGTTTTTTTCGGGTTATATGGCCATGTTCTAGAGGCATTCTCTCCTGATGTTTCGCCTGCATCTATGGCAAGCATCCTCAGAGGAAGTTTGGTCTGTTGGAACTAGGAAAATTGGGTTTATGTATCTGTGGAATGACCAGGGTGGGGCAAAGGACTCTTGTCTGCTGGAGCTAGGTGTGAATGTTTCAACTGACCACCTTGATTAGCATTTAATGGCTTGGAAGTGCCTGGGGGGAGTCTTTTGTTGAGAGTGATTTGATGTGCCTGATTGTTTAAACTTTGTTTAAACAGTGTTTTAAACTTTTAATCCTTGCTACTGGCCCTGCCCACTGTGATTTATTTTCTGTGTGTAAATTATTGTGATTTTACACTGTTTGATGTGCTTATTTGTATTGTTTCTTGTATTTTATTTTTGGGTTGTTGTAGGTTTTTCCGGGCTTTATGGCCATGTTCTAGAGGCATTCTCTCCTGACGTTTCGCCTGCATCTATGGCAAGCATCCTGAGAGATAGTGAGGTCTGTTGGAACTAGGGAAAAGGGTTTATATATCTGTGGAATGACCAGGGGGGACAAAGAACTCTTGTCTGGTGGAGCTAGGTTTGAATGTTTCAACTGACCGCTTTGATTAGTATTTGATGGTCTGGCAGTTGTTTGGTGTGGCTTGTTGTAGCATTAGAAAATGTTGATCATTTCCGCTACCTTGGCAGCCACCTCTCGACCAAAGTCAACATCGACACCGAAATACAACACCTTAAAAGGACTGGGCTCGAGAAGCCCACCCCCCAAACAGCCAGGCCCGTAGCCAGGATTTTGATTTGGGGGGGGGGGGTTTTTCGGGGGGGGGGGGGGGGGCTGAGTCTGAGTGAAAGAGGGTCTACCCTAGCAAACCTTTTGTATCATTGCCCCAATACCCCCATGCATATGGGATATATTGAGTATGGTGATCAGATCATGATATGAATAAACATAACAGTTTAAATAATGCACCAGTAAGGCCTTTTCGCGAACCACCATGAGAATTTGGGTGGGGGGCTGAAGCCCCTCAAGCCCCTCCCCCCTGGCTACATGCTTCAAATGGTCCAGCGTTTGGCAGCCAGGTTGCTAACAGGAGCGGCACTCAGGAAGCATACTACTCCTCTGTTGCGCCAGCTCCACTGGCTGCCAGTTTGCTACCGGGCACAATTCAAAGTGCTGGCTTTAGCCTATAAAGCCCTAAACGGTTCTGGCCCAACTTACCTCTCCGAACGCATCTCCTCCTATGAACCAGCTAGGACACTAAGATCATCTGGTGAGGCCCTGCTCTCTGTCCCGCCTGCATTACAGGCGAGCTTGGCGGGGATGAGAGACAGGGCCTTCTCAGTGGTGGCCCCTCAGCTGTGGAACGCCCTGCCTGCAGATATCATATCAGCCCCCTCCCTGCTGGCGTTTCGGAGGAAAGTGAAGACCTGGCTGTTCGAACAAGCATTTGATTAAACAGTGTAATTGAACATAGGAATACGGAATAATGGATGACGAGACTGGATTCTGATTTTACTGTTGAGGTGCTAATGATTGTTATACGGATGTTTAATGATTTATGTGATAATTGTTTTTAATTGCCCTATATATTTTGTACTGATGTTGTTCACCGCTTTGAGTCGCCTGAGGGCTGAGAAAAGCGGTATAGAAATAAAGTAAATAAATAAATAAATAATGGCCTGGCAGTGCCTGGAGCAATCTTTTGTTGAGAGGTGATTAGATGTCCTTGTTTGTTTCCTCTCTGTTGTTGTGCTGTTCTAATTTTAGAGGTTTTTTTTTAATACTGGTAGCCAGATTTTGTTCATTTTCATGGTTTCCTCCTTTCTGTTGAAATTGTCCACATGCTTCTTGTGGATTTCAATGGCTTCTCTCACTTCTGCAGGAGTCTACCGTATACCATGCAGCTGTGGACAAGTCTACAAAGGGACCACCAAACGCAGCAGCATTGCCCAAACATGAATCAAGGAACATGAAAGGCACTGCAGACTACTTCAACCAGAGAAATCAGCCATAGCAGAGCACCTGATGAACCAACCTGGACACAGCATATTATTCGAAAACACAGAAATGCTGGACCACTCTCACAACCACCATGTCAGACTACATAGAGAAGCCATTGAAATCCACAAAGCATGTGGACAATTTCAACAGAAAGGAGGAAACCATGAAAATGAACAAAATCTGGCTACCAGTATTAAAAAACTCTAAAATTGCAACAGCACAACAACAGAGAGGAAGCAGGCAGGGACATCTAATTACCTCTCAACAAAAGTTTGCTCCAGGCACAGTCAGCCCATTGTATGCTAATCAAGGTGGTCAGTTGAAACATTCACACCTAGCTCCAGCAGACAAGAGTTCTTTGTCACCCTGGTCATTCCACAGATATATAAACCCTTTTTCCTAGTTCCAACAGACCTCACTACCTCTGAGGATGCTTGCCATAGATGCAGGCAAAACGTCAGGAGAGAATGCCTCTAGAACATGGCCATATAGCCTGAAAAAAACCTACAACAATTGAGTGATTCTGGCCACGAAAGCCTTCGACAATATCCTATACTACTTTTGATCATTCCACAGATATATAAACCCATTTTCGTAGTTCCAACAGACCTCACTACTTCTGAGGATGCTTGCCATAGATGCAGGCAAAACGTCAGGAGATAATGCTTCTAGAACATGGCCATATAGCCCAAAAAAACCTACAACAACCCAGTATAGGATATTGTCCATAATAAGAATCACTTAAACTTAGAAAACAGGATTCCAAACACCAAGTTCAGGAAACAGGAATACATAAACCATAACCAAGGTCCAAAAGTTACAAGTGTCTGTAGTAGAAAATAATAGGCCTGGGTAACAACGGAAAAATTTGTTTCTAAAATCGATTTGTATTTGGGGTTTTTTTTTGTTTCGATATTTAAAATAATTACAAAATTTTCCTTTTAAAAAGTTCGATATTTACGAAATTTCGTAAATGGTAAAAAATTAACGAATCGTTTCCGAAACAATAACGAATCGATTCGTTAATGGCGGACGCGACCGCGAAATACGCTAAAAAACCTCCAAAACCTTCTGAAGCTTCCCTCTCCCTCTGTTGTTGACTGTTGGTGTGATATTATAATTTTTTTTCACTAATTAAACCATAAAACTGGCCCAGACCTGCAGAAATAATAACGAAACAACCTTAAAACAATAACGAAACGAATACAATATCGAAAAGAAGCATTTACAAAAGAAAAGTGGGAAAGGGAGGGAAAAATACACTATCGGAATGGCAAAGCTTTCACCAAACTTTTTTGAAATTCGTTTTTTTTTAATACTTCCTCACCAATTTCAGGAACATTGGCATTTTCCAAACCTACAGCAGATTCTTCCTCACTAATTTCAGGAGCATTGGCATCAAAAGGTACATTTCCATTAGCATAGGCCTGTTTGATCAAGAAAAAATTTGTTTCTAAAATCGATTTGTAATTGGGGTGTTTTTTTTGTTTCGATATTTAAAATATTTACAAAACTTTCCAAAAAAAAGTTTTGGTATTTACGAAATTTTGTAAATATTAACGAAATTTTTAGAATATTTTTTGTATTTTTTAAGAATAATATTAAAATAATATTAAAAAATATTTTAAAATGGAAAATTAACCAAAAAATGGCCCAAATGTGGACCAACACAGGCAGGAGACAGCAAATGAGAGAAAACACCAACAGAAGAGTCTTTTCTTTTTTAGAATATTTTTAAAATAATATTAAAAATAATATTAAAATAATATTAAAAATAATATTAAAAATATTTTTAAATGGAAAATTAACCAAAAAATGGCCCAAATATGGACCAAACACAGGCAGGAGACAGCAAATGAGAGCACACACCAACAGAAGAGTCTTTTCTTTTTTAGAATATTTTTTAAGAATAATATTAAAATAATATTAAAAATAATATTAAAATAATATTAAAAAATATTTTAAATGGAAAATTAACCAAAAAATGGCCCAAATGTGGACCAAACACAGGCAGGATACAGCAAATGAGAGCACACACCAACAGAAGAGTCTTTTCTTTTTTAGAATATTTTTTTAAGAATAATATTAAAATAATATTAAAAAATAATATTAAAAAATATTAAAAAATATTTAAAATGGAAAATTAACCAAAAAATGGCCCAAATGTGGACCAAACACAGGCAGGAGACAGCAAATGAAGCAAGCAGCACTCACAGCAGCAAGGAATGAATCCAATCCAGTTGCTAGCCATTAGCCAAGCCAAGCCAATGCAAACTCCCTCGCCCTCTGCAGCAATGATGAGCTACGGCCGCGCCGCGCGGAGCCGCTTTGAAAGGGCTCGCCGGCCAATCAAAAACAAACAGCCACGGACCCACAGTGCACTGCTTGGGAGCGCCGGATTGGCTCCCACTGGCACCAGCACTCCAGCAGCCTCCACCCCATTAACGAAACGAGCGGAAGCTCGTTAAATCTATGGGGGTTGCTGGTTCGATATTTTAAACCCTTCCGGGTTTGGAAATGTGTTTTGATATCGCTTCAAAAATGCCTAAAATAACGAATTAATAACGAATTAACGAATTAACGAACGAAACCGGACAGGCCTAGTAGCCTCCTCTGATTCTATGGTTGCCGGTAGGGCAATGGATTCATTCTGGGTTTTAATCCATCTGTCCAAAATGTTGAAACCTATTCCTTGAAAGAGTCAGAGGAAGAAGGGAGCAGGACTTACCCACGGCGATCCTGGTGTGGAGACTCAGCATTTCCACCAGAGCATTGTTGAGGATGACGGCTACCAAGGCTACCAAAATGTAGGTAAGGCTCATGTCAAACACAATAGAAGTCCCTGCGGAAGAACAACAAAGAGATGGTTGCAGCAGGAAAATGGAGCCAACCAACATTTGCTAAGACCATGTATTGCTAAGTTTCTTTTCTGAAGTTGTCATACGCCTGTGAGACGTGGACTATCTACAGACGTCACACGCAACTCCTAGAATGATTCCATCAGCGTTGCCTCTGAAAAATCCTGCAAATCTCTTGGGAAGACAGGCAGACAAATGTCAGCGTGCTGGAAGAAGCAAAGACCACCAGCATTGAAGCCATGGTCCTCTGCCATCACCTCCGTTGGACTGGTCACATTGTCTGAATGCCCGACCACCATCTCCCAAAGCAGCTGCTCTACTCCGAACTCAAGAATGGAAAACTGAATGTTGGTGGGCAGGAAAAGAGATTGAAAGATGGGCTCTTAAAAACTCTGGCATAGATACTGTGAACTGGGAAGCCCTGGCCCTTGAGCGCTCCAGCTGGAGGTCAGCTGTGACCAGCAGTGCCGTGGAATTTGAAAAGAATGGAGGGCGAAAGGGAAAACCGTGCCAAGAGGAAGGCGCATCAATCCAACCCTGACCGGATACGCCTTCCACCTGGAAATCGAAGTCCTCACTGCAGGAGAACATAGGGATCAAGAATAGGACTCCATAACCACCTACAGACCCACCGCCAAGACACCAGACTTGGAAGACCATCATCCTGAGGCTATGAGGGATCGCCTAAGTAGTTAAGTACTGTATATACTCGAGTATAAGCCTAGTTTTTCAGCCCCTTTTTTCTCCTAAAAAAGTTCTCCTAGGCTTATACTCGAGTCAAGGTTATTTATTATTTTACTCTGTTATTAGTATTATTTTTATTACATTTATTATTTTACTCTATTTATTATTATTACCTTTACATTATTTTACTCAGTGTATTATTATTACATTTATTATTTTACTCTGTTACTGTTATTACATTTCCATTATTTACTCTATTATTATTATTATTATTATTATTATTATTATTATTATTATTATTATTATTAGATTTATTATTTTTACATATTACATTTATTATTTTACTCTATTATTATTGGAAGGATACGTAAGCACATTGACATTGAAGAAGATTCAAATAATGGTTTAATCAGAGTTGGATAGTCTTATCTTAAATTACAGTTTTATGTATGTACACAAAAACATTTAACCTACTGATGATTTTCAGTAGCAGCTGCATTTTTCACCCTCGACTTATACTCGAATCAATACATTTTCCAAGTTTCTTGTCGTAAAATTAGGTGCCTCGGCTTATATTCGGGTCGGCTTATACCCGAGTATATATGGTAAGTGTCAATGACTTATATATGTGCAAGTGCAACCGATGAATCCATACATCATTTTGGGGGACATTTCTTTTTATGCCCTGTTGAAGACTTTTCACACGTGGTTGTCCTAATCCAAAGGGCTTGCTCTTTCTTCATCTTAGCAAAGAGAAGAAGGTGGTGGTGGTGGTGTCAAGAACAACCATGCAGTGCCAACCAATACACTTTCAAACTCTGTCTTTGGAGTTTCCAATGACAAGAACAACCATGCCGTGCCATGCCAATACACTTCCAGTCTCCGTCTTTGGAGTTTCCTAAAGATGCCGCAATCCTACCTGGGTACTTGTGATGAAGGTAGTCCACATCTGTGATGAAGCTATTGTAAGGCAAGAGGAAGCCAACTCCTGCCAGCAGCATTGCAAAGTAAATGCCATGGTAGCGGTCCTGCGGTTCGGGGTCTTCACAGGCTGCAACCCAAAACAGGAGAGGAAATGAGGTTCATAGTTGAAGAGGTCAGAAAGGAGCATCTCTGGTTCATTTAGTAGGAAAATGCCACACATCTCACTAAAACAGCACGCTATTTTGGGTTGTTGTAGGTTTTTTGGGGTATATGGCCATATTCTAGAAGCATTCTCTCCTGACATTTCACCTGCATCTATGGCAAGCATCCTCAGAGGTTGCGACCACACAACCTCTGAGGATGCTTGCCATAGGTGCAGGCGAAATGTCAGGAGAGAATGCTTCTAGATCATGGCCATATAGTCTGAAAAACATACAACAACCCTGTGATTTCAGCCATGAAAGCCTTCGACAATACATTAGTACACTATTTTACAAATTAAAACAATTACAGCACTTCAAATACAGTGACCCCTTGGTATGTGCCTACATTTGGTTCCAGGACCCCTGTGGATACCGAAATCCATTGATGCTCTAGTCCCATTACATACAATGCTGTAAAAAGTTGTCCCTTATATAAATTGACAAAATCAAGGTTAGTTTGGGAGACTTGGAGGAAGGTTTAGAAGGCAGGCTTATCAAGTTTGCAGATGGGACTAAATTGGGAGGGAGAGCGAATACTCCAGAGGACAGGGTCAGAATTCATGTCAAAGGATGGCATAAGAAAGAGGGAGCAAGCTTGTTTTCTGCTGCCCTTGAAACTAGGACTCAGCGGAGCCATGGGTTCGAGTGACAGGAAAGGAGATCCCACTTGAACATTAGGAAGAACTTCCTTTGCGTAAGGAGAGCTGTTCAGCAGTGGAACTCTCTGCCTCGGAGTGTGGTGGAGGCTCCTTCCTTGGAAGCTTTTAAACAGAGGCTGGATGGGCATCTGTTTGGGGTACTTTGATTGTGCTTTTCCTGCATGATAGGGAGTTGGAGTAGATGACCCATGTGGTCTCTTCCAACTATATAATTCTACTGAATTATATAATTGGAGATAGTTAAGAGATGGATGGATGGATGGATGGATGGATGGATGGATGGATGGATGGATGGATGAATGGATGGATGGATTCCTAGTGTTGGGAGAGACCCAAGGGACCATCAAGGCCAACCCTTAAGAAGTAGATAGGTAGGTATGTAGCAATATAGATAGATAGATAGATAGATAGATAGATAGATAGATAGATAGCAAGGTAGGTAGGTAGGTAGGTAGGTAGAGGGATTCCTACAGTTGGAAGAAGCCCCAGGGACCATCAAGTCTAACAGTTAAGAGAGAGAGAGAGAGAGAGAGAGAGATGGATGGATTCCTAGTGTTGGAAGAGACCCAAGGGACCATCAAGGCCAACCCTTAAGAAGTAGATAGGTAGGTATGTAGCAAGATAGATAGATAGATAGATAGATAGATAGATAGATAGATAGATAGCAAGATAGGTAGGTAGGTAGGTAGGTAGGTAGGTGGATTCCTACTGTTGGAAGAAGCCCCAGGGACCATCAAGTCTAACGGTTAAGAGAGAAAGAGAGAGAGAGAGAGAGAGAGATGGATGGATTCCTAGTGTTGGAAGAGACCCAAGGGACCATCAAGGCCAACCCTTAAGAAGTAGATAGGTAGGTATGTAGCAAGATAGATAGATAGATAGATGATAGATAGATAGATAGATAGATAGATAGATAGATAGCAAGATAGGTAGGTAGGTAGGTAGGTAGGTAGGTGGATTCCTACTGTTGGAAGAAGCCCCAGGGACCATCAAGTCTAACGGTTAAGAGAGAAAGAGAGAGAGAGAGAGAGAGAGATGGATGGATTCCTAGTGTTGGAAGAGACCCAAGGGACCATCAAGGCCAACCCTTAAGAAGTAGATAGGTAGGTATGTAGCAAGATAGATAGATAGATAGATGATAGATAGATAGATAGATAGATAGATAGATAGATAGACAGACAGATAGATAGATAGATAGATAGATAGCAAGATAGGTAGGTAGGTAGGTAGGTAGGTAGGTGGATTCCTACTGTTGGAAGAAGCCCCAGGGACCATCAAGTCTAACAGTTAAGAGAGAAAGAGAGAGAGAGAGAGAGAGAGATGGATGGATTCCTAGTGTTGGAAGAGACCCAAGGGACCATCAAGGCCAACCCTTAAGAAGTAGATAGGTAGGTATGTAGCAAGATAGATAGATAGATAGATAGATAGATAGATAGATAGATAGCAAGATAGGTAGGTAGGTAGGTGGATTCCTACTGTTGGAAGAAGCCCTTTGAGTGAAATTAGCAATAGCTAAAGCCTTTAGCAACAAAGGAGAAATGTACCCCTTCCCTGTAGAAAAGGAGCAGCATGGAGGAAAATGTTTTAAAAACAAGAGGTGACATGTAGAGGTCATACAAAGTTCAAGCTTACATAGGAAGTTGGTTTGTGGTTAAGCGCAAAGTCTGCAGGTGCGAGAAGGTACTTTCCATCAAGAGGTTGATGGGACAGGAAGAGTAAAGGTCAAAGTACTTTCCATGACAAAAAATATTCTTGTTTACCTGAGGGTATATAAAAGTTTGCAAAAACAGAGGAGGGTGCGGCAGTCTGTGGGAATGAAGCCAAATGAGACTTTAGGGGGGTCAACTCCAAGGAGAGATGACCCTTAGTTCCCACCAAAGAGGGAACGCTACCTTGGCAAGCCTTCAGGGAAGCCTGATTCCAGCAATTTTATTGATATTAATAATTGAAATGAGACTCTTGCCAAGTTGAAGAAGAGGCATCGAGGTTTAATGAGTGATTCAGCTGAAGCGGATGCAATTGCAGTGATCATTCACATGCAAGCATACCAATACATTGATCAGAGGCATATTTATAGCAAAATACAGGTTTGAAAGTTTCAAAACTCCCTCCCTCTTCGGCTCCTTAGCAAATCAGGGAGAGGGAGGCAGGACGGAAGAGGGACGATGTGTCCAGAGAGGATGATGACATTCCACTGTCCTGTGCCCGAGGGATCAGCCAGCCAAGGAAACCAGTTTTTTTGTTCTTGTGATGGATCAGTGATTAGGGATAATCATTTGATTCAGGTTTTCCCCTTCCAGGATCAGATAAGGTAAAAGGTGAGGCTGGGAAGGATGTTTGTTGTGAAGGAAAACTTGGCAGAGGAAATCACAGTCTGATGACCCCCTCCTAAAGTCAAATAGTAACTCCAGGTCCCATTGTTAGTTCTAAGTAAATAGGTGTTTTTGTGATTCCTGATCTGATGAGGTGTGTCTCTTGATGGGTCTTGCGAAAGAAGCAAACAGAGCCGGGGCGAGGGGACCCCTGGGGCCGGCCTCGCCCCTTTGTGATTAAATTAAAATGTGACCAGAGAAATTCCCTGTTTACCAGGCCAACTCAGAAAAATAAACAAAGAATTTCCAGTTGCTATTGTCCATGCAAATGTCTGTGATAAGGTTGGTTTCGAGGGAACAACAGCCCCCTCGGGCACTGAGTGGTTTTTCCTGGTCGCCTTTTTGGGGCAAAGGGCAAGGGTAAAGGGGGCAAAAGATATTTCATAGCAAGATACATACATTCAAATCATAAGCATTTCATGGCAACAAAACCCCATCTTTGTCCCACATCCCAAGTATATTTAATAAGAGGATTAATTTTCATGAAGAAGCCTTTAAAAGGTCTTTGAGGAAAGTTCATGAGGGAGATAGTATGTACTGAAGTCCAAGACATGCAGGCAGAGAGTCCATGATCATTGGGAAGGCTGGCAGATGAAACCCCAGCTGTGCTGCAACTGATTCACACTTTGGTCCTTGGGAAACTACAACTCTCACGAAGGGCAGAAGTCCCAAGATCCAGCCATTTCCCAAAAGCCTCGTGGGGTCCTTGTTGTCAGTGCCTTGGCAATGTGACCAAGACTTAACCCCTATTGCGCAGTCTGGTACCTTTGTCCTTTGCAGAACTATAAGTCACCATCCCTTGTTGGGGGGGGGCGGTCATGCTCGGCTTGGGAGCACTTGTAGAAGTGCTGTCTGTTCGCCTCATGCTGATCAGCTTGAATAAACGGTGTCTTACCTGAACCTATTGGACTCTGTGGATTTCTTCGAAAAGGGACCCTGCACCCTAAACCCGTGATCCCTTACACTACAAAATGAATGTTCACGGACTGTCATATCACTTGTGGAAGGAAGTGGGAAACGTGTGGAGCAGCAGGTCACTGCTTTCCAATTCCAACTTGAAAAGGAAGGATTTAACCTCTCTGGCCCCCCTTTCTGCTTTGATTCATCAAATGCTGGCATTCGTGTTTGAAAATGGCAGGCTTTTTGAGGGTCTCCAGTGCCTTGGGCCATGGATGCAACCCGCATGATTAAAGTCCATTTGGCAAATTGCAGCCTTTCATCCAAGGCCCAGGAGGGGTGCAAATAGCAGACCTTTGTGATGCAATGTCACTAAATAACACCGCACAGAGCAAGAAAAGGCCAACAAATAACACAGGGATGTGAAGGGGCAGGAAAGCTGAATCCTGGTCTCCAATGAACTGTGCAAATAGAAGATTTCTATAATGGAAAAGATGTGAGGCTTGGGCTGGAGTTGACCTATCAAAATGTGTTTGTGTCCTATTTGAAAGCTATTTGCAAAAGGAGTGGGGAAAGGGCATCCCTTCAGGTTGTTTTTCTGCAGCCCCTGACACTTCCTCTCCATAAGATTCAGCCACATCTTCACCTCACTACCTCTGAGGATGCTTGCCATAGATGCAGGCAAAACGTCAGGAGAGAATGCCTCTAGACCATGGCCATATAGCCCGAAAAAACCTACAACAACCCAGTGATTCCGGCCATGAAAGCCTTAGAATCATAGAATCAAAGAGTTGGAAGAGACCTCATGGGCCATCCAGTCCAACCTCATTCTCAAGAAGCAGGAATATTGCATTCAAATCACCCCTGACAGATGGCCATCCAGCCTCTGTTTAAAAGCTTCCAAAGAAGGAGCCTCCACCACACTCCGGGGCAGAGAGTTCCACTGCTGAACGGCTCTCACAGTCAGGAAGTTCTTCCTCGTGTTCAGATGGAATCTCCTCTCTTGTAGTTTGAAGCCCACCACACTCCGGGGCAGAGAGTTCCACTGCTGAACGGCTCTCACAGTCAGGAAGTTCTTCCTCATGTTCAGATGGAATCTCCTCTCTTGTAGTTTGAAGCCATTGTTCCATTGCGTCCTAGTCTCCAGGGAAGCAGAAAACAGGCTTGCTCCCTCCTCCCTGTGGCTTCCTCTCACATATTTATACATGGCTATCATATCTCCTCTCAGCCTTCTCTTCTTCAGGCTAAACATGCCCAGCTCCTTAAGCCGCTCCTCATAGGGCTTGTTCTCCAGACCCTTGATCATTTCAACAATACATCTTCCCTTTTGTTTGCAAGGAAATCTTGGACACCTTCAGGAATTGCAATTCACCTTCAAAACAAGCTACACAGACCTTCTGCGTTGTTTTCCAAATTTCGCAAACTACAAATTACATTTGCAGCCACTTGTGGGGCCCTCGGAGCCGGAAAATGGCCTATGCTGCCTCCTTGAAACAAGCCCTGCTTCTTGTACTAAGGGATTGGGGGTCCTTTGCTGTTCGTCATATAATCCCTATCTGTTTGGAGGTCCCTTTGATCACCTTAGTTGCTTGGGCCTCCAATTCGTGAATTCTGATCTAGCCCAAAGTTAGTATCAACACTTTACTTACACCAAATTGGGAGGGATAGCCAAGACTCCAGAGGACAGGAGCAGGATTCAAAACGATCTTGACAGATTAGAGAGATGGGCCAAAACTAACAAAATGAAGTTCAACAGTGACAAATGCAAGAGACTCCACTTTGGCAGGAAAAACGAAATGCAAAGATACAGAATGGGGGATGCCTGGCTCGAGAGCAGTACGTGTGAAAAAGATCTTGGAGTCCTCGTGGACAACAAGTTAAACATGAGCCAGGAATGTGATGTGGTGGCAAAAAAAGCCAATGGGATTTTGGCCTGCATCAATAGGAGCATAGTGTCTAGATCTAGGGAATTAATGCTACCCCTCTATTCCGCTTTGGTTAGACCACACCTGGAATATTGTGTCCAATTCTGGGCACCACAATTCAAGAGAGATATTGACAAGCTGGAATGTGTCCAGAGGAGGACTAAAATGATCAAGGGTCTGGAGAACAAGCCCTATGAGGAGCGGCTTAAGGAGCTGAGCATGTTTAGCCTGAAGAAAAGAAGGCTGAGAGGAGATATGATAGCCATGTATAAATATGTGAGAGGAAGCCACAGGGAGGAGGGAGTAAGCTTGTTTTCTGCTTCCTTGGAGACTAGGACGCAATGGAACAATGGCTTCAAACTACAAGAGAGGAGATTCCATCTGAACATGAGGAAGAACTTCCTGACTGTGAGAGCCGTTCAGCAGTGGAACTCTCTGCCCCAGTGTGGTGGAGGCTCCTTCTTTGGAAGCTTTTAATAGAGGCTGGATGGCCATCTGTCAGGGGTGATTTGAATGCAATATTCCTGCTTCTTGGCAGAATGGGGTTGGACTGGATGGCCCATGAGGTCTCTTCCAACTCTTTGATTCTATGATTCTTTGTACCTATGTTTCAGAATCATAGAATCATAGAATCAAAGAGTTGGAAGAGACCTCATGGGCCATCCAGTCCAACCCCATCTGCCAAGAAGCAGGAATATTGCATTCAAATCACCCCTGACAGATGGCCATCCAGCCTCTGTTTAAAAGCTTCCAAAGAAGGAGCCTCCACCACACTCCGGGGTAGAGAGTTCCACTGCTGAACGGCTCTCACAGTCAGGAAGTTCTTCCTCATGTTCAGATGGAATCTCCTCTCTTGTAGTTTGAAGCCATTGTTCCTGTGTCCTAGTCTCCAGGGAAGCAGAAAACAAGCTTGCTCCCTCCTCCCTGTAGCTTCCTCTCACATATTTATGAATGGCTATCATATCCCCTCTCAGCCTTCTATGAGGAAGCACACAGGCAGAACTCAGCTTGGCAGGATATTGGATCATTCGTACATTAGGCAAACACAAAGTATGCTCATCTAAACATTGCAAGTAAAAGTATTGATGTACATACATATTTTGGAAACTTCTGTCTAAAGACAGTAGTCTCCTAGAGTCTGGACAGATGTCAAGGCATTTCTTTTACATGCAAACAGGTGCTTGACCCTCACCTGGTTCCATGAAGGTGAGGACCCCCTTGGCCTGGCACGCTTTCGCCTGGAGTTCTTCCTCTTCCAGCTGGTAACTGTCGAAGCTGAAGCTCATCACCACGTTGCCCTCCGGCGTCACCATGGGGCTGATGTCTTTGAAGTGGTCTCCCCCAACAGACCCCATGGCTGCTGGCCTAGGCATTGGAAGAAGATACCAGAGGTTAAGATGACTCTTCCAGTCAACTCTTCAAGGCTCTTTTGTTTTTGGGGATTGTAGAAAAACTCTGAAGGAGCTGGGGGAGGTGACGGATAACAGGGAGCTCTGGTGTGGGCTGGTCCATGAGGTCACGAAGAGTCGGAAACGACTGAACGAATGAACAACAATAACAAGAAAAACCAACGAGGACACATATCTGCTGTATGGTGTTCTTCTGAACTTATTGTTCTTGGTGCCATGTGCCTTGAAGTCATTTCTGACTTATGGAGACCCTAAGGTGAGACTATTATGGGGTTTTCCGAAGCATGACTCGCTCAAGGGTTTCTGTGGTCAAACAGGGAACTGAGTCCTCACCTCCAGGGTCATTGTCCAATGCTTAAACTCCTACACTGCACTGTCTATCTATTTTATTTTATTTATTTACAGTATTTATATTTATTTATTTACTTCACTTGTATACCGCTCTTCTCAGCCATCAGGCGACTCAGAGCGGTTAACAACCAGTATCAGCAACACGGTACAAAATCATTAGTCATTTAAAACAGTAATATCAATTAATTAGCATCAAAAATATCAATACAACAATACAGCAATACAACAATACAGCAAAACAACAATCCATCACGTCTCATCAATAGAATCAGCATCCGATCTCGTTGTCCATTAATCCATATTCCAGTAATCAATCAATTGCACTGCTTAGTTAAAAGCCTGTTCGAAGAGCCAGGTCTTCACTCTCTTCCGGAATGCCAATAAGGAGGGGGCCGATCTAATGTCTGTAGGAAGGGCGTTCCACAGCCGGGGGGCCACTACTGAGAAGGCCCTGTCTCTCGTCCCCGCCAGGCATGCTTCATAGGAGGAGATGCATTCGGACAGATAGGTCGGGCCAGAACCGTTTAGGGCTTTAAAGGCTAAAGCCAGCACTTTGAATTGTGCCCGGTAGCAAATTGGCAGCCAGTGGAGCTGGCGCAGCCGTGGAGTGGTGTGCTCCCTGAGTGCCGCTCCTGATAGCATCCTGGCTGCCGACCGTTGGACCATTTGAAGCTTCCGAGCAGTCTTCAGAGGCAACCCCACGTAGAGAGCGTTGCAGTAGTCTATACGGGATGTAACCAGAGTGTGGACTACCGTGGCCAAGTCAGACTTCCCAAGGTACGGGCGCAGCTGGCGCACAAGTTTTAACTGTGCAAATGCTCCCCTGGTCACCGCTGAAACCTGGGGTTCCAGGCTCAGCGATGAGTCCAGGATCACACCCAAGCTGCGAACCTGCGTCTTCAGGGGGAGTTCGACCCCATCCAACACAGGCTGTAACCCTATGCCCTGTTCGGCCTTGCGACTGACCAAGAGGACCTCTGTCTTGTCTGGATTCAATTTCAATTTGTTCGCCCTCATCCAGACCGTCACAGCGGCCAAGCACCGGTTCAGGACCTGGACAGCCTCCTTAGGAGCAGGTGGAAAGGAGTGACAGAGTTGGACATCATCCGCGTACAGATGACACTGTACCCTGAAACTCCGGATGATCTCTCCCAGCGCCTTCATGTAGATGTTAAACAACATGGGAGACAGTATTAAACCCTGAGGAACCCCACAAGACAATGGTTGTGGGGTAGAACAGGTGTCTCCCAATACCGCTTTTCTCACCCCTAGAGGGACTCAAAGCGGTTTACACATAGATAATGGCAAAAATTCAATGCCTTACAACTACAATAGTAAAACCACACTTTAAACATAAATCATATCAAAAACAGTACATCACCAAATATCAAAAGTTATTAAAACCATAAAACAATCTCATCAGTTGAGTCCGCGTTCCAGTCCTTGTCCCACTAAAAGCTGCATACATCTATTGTCCGAAGGCCTGGTCCCAGAACCATGATTTTAATTTTTTTTTCTAAAGATCAGGAGCAAGGGAGCAGATCTTACCTCCTTTGGGAGTGTGTCCCATAGGCGGGGGGCCACCGCCGAGAAGGCCCTGTCTCTCATCCCTGCCAGGCGCATTTGCGTTGTTGACAGGAGCGAGAGCAGGGCCTCCCCGGATTATCTGACCTTGACAAAACGGGAACCTTAGATTATATTGCCAATAAATTATATTGCCAATAGTTTATACATGAGAAATTTGCTTTCCTCCCTCCCTCCCTCCCTCCCTCCCTTTCTTTCATTCTTCCTTCCTTCTTTCTTCCTTCCTTCCTTCCTTCCTTCCTTCCTTCCTTCCTTCCTTCCTTCCTTCCTTCCTTCTCCCTTTCCTCCCATTTCTTCTTTCCTTCTCTCCTTCCTTCCTTCTCTACCTCTTTCCTTCCTTCCCCCCTTTTTTCTTCTCTTCGTCTTTCTCTCATTTCTTCCTTCTCTATCTCTTTCCTTGGCTTTTTGCTTCCATCCTTCCTTTTTCCTTCCTTCCTTCTTTCTCTCCTTCTTTCCCTCCTTTCTTTGCTCCCTCTTTCTTTCCCTCCTTCCTTCCTTCTCTTTTCTCTACCTCTTTCCTTCCTTCCCCCCTTTTTCTTTCTCTCATTTCTTCCTTCTCTATCTCTTTCCTTGGCTTTTTGCTTCCATCCTTACTTCTCACTTTCCTTCTTTCCTTCCCTCTTTCTCTCCTCCTTTCCCTCCTTTCTTTGCTCCCTTTTTTCTTTCCTTCTTTCCTTCCTTCCTTCTCTACCTCTTTCCTTCCTTCCCCCCATTTTCTTTCTCTTGGTCCTTCTTTCATTTCTTCCTTCTCTATCTCTTTCCTTCTTTCCTTCCCTTTTTGCTTGCACCCTCCTTCTCTCTTTCCTTCTTTCATTCCCTCCCTCTTTCTCTCCTTCTTTTCCTCCTTCTGCTCCTTCTTTCCTTCCCTCCCTTTTCTCTTTCCTTCTCTCACTTCTTCCTTCACTATCTCTTTCCTTCTTTCCTTCACTTTTTGCTTCCAACCACCTTCTCCCTTTTTCTTTCCCTACCTCTTTCTCTCCTTCTTTCCTCCTTTCTTTTTCCCTCTTCCTTCCCTCCTTCCTTCCTTCTCTACCTCTTTCCTTCCTTCCCCCTTTTTCTTTCTCTTGATCTTTCTCTCATTTCTTCCTTCTCTATCTCTTTCCTTCACTTTATGCTTCCATCCTTCCTTCTCGCTTTCCTTCTTTCCTTCCCTCCCTCTTTCTCTCCTTTTTTCCTTCCTTCCTTTGCTCCCTTTTTCCTTCCCTCCCTTTTTCTTTCCTTCCTTCCTTCTCTACCTCTTTCCCTCCTTCCTTCCTCCTTTTTCCTTTTCCCCGTCTTACTCTTCTTTCTTCCTTCTCTACCTCTTTCCTTTCTTCTTTCACTTTTTGCTTCCATGCTTCCTTCTCTCTTTCCTTCTTTCTTCCCCTCTTCCCCTCTTCCCCTCTTCCCCTCTTCCCCTCTTCCCCTCTTCCTTCCTTCCTTCCTTCCTTCCTTCCTTCCTTCCTTTCTTTCTTTCTTTCTTTCTTTCTTTCTTTCTTTCTTTCTTTCTTTCTTTCTCCCCTTCATTCCTTTCCCTTCCTTCCCTTTTTTTCTGTATTGTCATTTAGCTTTTTTGGCTTTTTGGCTTTTTAGTCCCTTCTGCTGTGTTTTTCCATGTTGGTTTGTTAGGGGTATAGTGTCCAAATTTCATGTCATTTCGTCCTGTGGTTTTTTGAGTTATGTTAATCCCACAAACAAACATTACATTTTATTTATATATATTTATATTTAGGCATTTGATTGTGTTTTATTATGTGTTTATATTGTGTTGGCATCAAATTGTTGCCTGTTGGTAGCCGCCCTGAATCCCTCCTCGGAGGTTGAGAACGGACAGGGTATAAATGTCCTAAATAAATAATAAATAAATACATCCTGCATATCAGATATTTGTCAGTGTATGTTGATGTGACGACAATTATGTCTTCACATAATAATAGAGAAGACAATGATGCTGGGGAAAGTGGAAGGCAAAAGAAAGAGGGGCCGACCAAGGGCAAGATGGATGGATGGCATCCTTGAAGTGACTGGACTGACCTTGAAGGAGCTGGGGGTGGTGACGGCCGACAGGGAGCTCTGGCTTGGGCTGGTCCATGAGGTCACGAAGAGTCGGAGACGACTGAACGAATGAACAACAACAATGTTGATGTATGTAATGTGTTTTAAATGTAATTTCATGCAGTAGAAATATGGATGCTACAAGATTGTGTTGCGATGATGTATGTTTATGTTAGAGGCTGTGAGAAAGTAACCCTGAGACACTCTCTGTCTGGAGTTGTGAGAAAATCAGGGAGTGTCTGGTATCTGCCAAGCAGCTGCAGAATTGTTTACACTTCAACTTCCTTTGTCCTGCGTACTGTGTCCTTCATGCCTGGTCGCTTACTGTAATGGATGTGTTTTGAAACTACTCTAAGTAAATTGAACCAGCTTTGTAACCAGACGTCTCCAGAGTCCATGTTTTCTCCAAAGCTTGTGCAAAACTCCCGCTAACACTAACAATATTTACATTACGATGAGGTAGCAATGGAAATAATTATATGGTTGGGGGTCACCACAACATGAGGAACTGTATTGAGGGGTCGCGGCATTACGAAGGTTGGGAAACATTGTCTTAATTCCTGCAAAAATGGGGGTGCGGGTGCTGCATATTTAACTAAGTAGCTGACAGATGATTCCGTCTTGCTGCACCATTGCCAAGAATAAATGCTAACAAAAATAATATAATTCCCTTAGTAGCGGGGAAATTGCAGTAATCTGTTGAAATTATTAGTAATTATAATAAAAACCCGGCTTCCCGAGCTGAGCACTTTTGCGTCCCGTGGGTGATATATGTAACATTAGTCCAGGGCCAAAGAGAATGTTATTTTAAGTCTATTAATTTTAGATGAAAAGTTAAGCACATGCATACTTCTTTCCTGATTGGAACGAAAAGGACTGAACGAACGTTGCTCAGTATTTGCCATTTTGCGATGCCGTTTTAGGCTTCACGGTTTGCAGATGAAACCTCAAAAATGTGTGGACTTCAGTTGAGGAAACCTGCTACAA